GCTGTTAAACCTGATCAGTGGCTGATTCCAGGAAGCTGGGGGCAGAGCAATTCTGCCTCCAGCTTCCTGTAGTCAGCCCTTTGTCAGTTTCAGCAGCAGTGGCTGAATCTGGAGCCAGTTCCGACTTACATACAAATTCAACTTTAGAACAAACCTATAGTCCCTATCTTGTACGTAACCCGGGGACTGCCTGTACCTATATTTCTTTTTTCTTCTGCACCTGAAAATTCGCTTGAGAAAGTAGGGAGTACTTTTCATCTCATTCCATTGCAACTGACTGTTGAAAGCACAGATGTTCAAAGAGGCTAAATTGATTTGCCTTGCAGAAGAGCATGTTTCATATCTTGGTGTAGCTGTAGACCTAGAGAACAATACAAGAAAACACACAACTTAAGCTTATCACATGTTTATCATGGCAAGGTCAAAAAAGGCCTTTTTACCTCCAAAGAAATGTCAAGACATATTTGAATGTTTTTAAGACCTTTAGAATTTATGACCTCATGAATCCTGGAGCATCCATTGACAGACTGAGTGTGAGTCTTCAGTTCTGCTTAAAGAAAGTAGCTATTTCAAGAATAATCCAGTCTTATCTGGGAAGTCTAGTTATCTATCAGTTCTTCTGTTAATTGGAATTAAGGGATCTCTTTCTGATTTCTTACTTGAATGGTTTGTGATCCTATTCTGGATAATTTTCCTAGCACTGAATCTTCCAGCAGAGGGAGCTTTAATATTAAATATAGTAGGAAAATAATTTTACAAAATATTTTACATGCTTAATATACAAAGTAACTTTTTTCATGACCTTGTGATTTTGCAGATGAGACCCTTAAAACTGTTTTTAAAGGGTGGTGAGGGGAAAAGATATCTAGTAAGCAGAAATATTTTTCCAGATTTGTGTTACAAGGCCTGATCCTCTGTTCTTTGTTGACTTTATGGTACAATTGAAGTTAATAAAATATGTTCCGCTAGTAATGCAGGTTCTGCTCCACCTCTGTTTTTTCCCCTATCCCTCTTCTCCCACAATAGAGATAAGGTGAAGGTGGAAAAGTGGTTGGGAGATATAGCACTGGAGTAAATGTAAAGTGTGGTTTGTGTTTAAATGTGCTTCCAGTTTATTGCTCCTCTGAGAAGGCAGCAAAAAAATGTTCAGTTATTTTATGTAGGTATGCAAAGCCCTGGTGTCTCCCCTGGAAGAGTTTGTGCTTGCCCTGCTTCTGGTGTTCTGACATGGCATCTAGCTCCCTGGGCAGGAAGTGTTTCTGCCCCATTGTGGCAGTTTGGCTTTTACCCCACAAGTGTGAGGAGCAGCTAATCGCCCTGCTTCTGGTGTGCTTCTGCTTACACTGTGATCCCACAGGAAATCAATGTATGTTCAGACATATTCACTTCCATTCAGAAGTCTGGTGTTCTCCATTTCTGTTGGTAGTAAGATATGTGGCTCTTTTAATTCCACTTAAAAATCATCAGATATTTTCAACGTGTACAAACATTTAAAAAATTGTAAATAGTTTTATTTGCTGAATTTAACCTTGACATCTGAATTATCTTGATTTGTGAATAAAGAGGAGGTTTCAAAAAGCAAATGTTCCTGGCATCTGCTGGTAGTGGTATGGATAACATATATGAAGAGGAAAATTAAGCTCCACATATATTGCAATAACAACATTGTCAGCATTTTTAATATTTAAGGAATATCAGAGCTGCAAAGATTTCGATAATAGATAAAAGGCTGCCCCCGACTTGTGACGCGATTGGTTCCTGGAAAGCGTCGCAAGTTGGGGGCATTATAACTCGAACCCTCATTCACAGTAGGCGCCGTATGCCGTCATAAATGTGGGCCAAGGACGTAAGTCGGGGGGGGGGGGTTCAGCCCCTTCCTCGCTTACAGAAATGGTTGTCAGTGCGGGGGTTCGTAACTTGGGCAGTTGGAAGTTGGGGGTTTCCTGTAATAGAGTTTTGTATGTGGCAAGAGGTTCAAGACTAGGCAATTAAGGAGGAAAATATACATAATGATTTTTAAATAATTGTGCTCTTGTGTTGATCTCAGGTATAATATATAACATTGTATAACTTTCATTGGCTGATTTTTACGTGTGCATATAGTCAGTAGCTTATTATGCAAAATATGTCATGAAATAAAATACATAGTAGCTCATGCCAATTTATTTTCTGTATATTTTGTTAAATGTTTTGGAGGGAGGGCAATTCTTAATTTCATTCTCCTTTTGATTTTTTCTCTTTCATTAGAATCACACTTTAAGAATTGATAAAATATTTTTTTCATTTTTTTTAATGAAGTTGGAGGGTGATTGATTTCTGTTTTGCCAGTAGCAGGAAAGTCATAGTTGGGACATATGTACTGTTTACTTTCCATGTATAATTTTCAGAAACAGATGTATATACCTTTGGCCTTGGACAATATGGGCAACTTGGACATGGTACATTTATTTTTGAAACCTCAGTACCAAAAGCTGTGGAATATCTGAAGAAGCATAAAATATGTAACATTGCATGTGGGGAAAATCATACAGCTGTAATAGCAGGTATGTATGCTGAAAATTCTGAAATGTAGTTAAAATGATAATGTTTTAGAATTTATTATATGAAATTTTTTCAGTACAAAATGAGTATAGTGAAGAATCAATATACAAATTTAATTTAAGGTCAGCTGACTGCCCAAAGTTACAGAGGGATCAACGGAAGAGCTAGATTGGAATTCAGGAATTTTCTTTTTGACTTTCTGTATATTCTTATTTCTGTAGACAGTTCTGCTTATTAAGGAAGTTGTAGCCTCACAAACTCCTTCCTACCACTGATGTATCAGTCTCAATTTTGCTACATAGTGGTATTACATTTTTATTAGCATATTTTTTTAGTTATCAAGATTAACAATTCCAGACAATACTTTTGTCTGAAAATGTGTTTATCTTCTGAACCATATTCAGCAGTTTAAAGATCATACAAATATTTGTTTGGATTTGATTTTTGAAAATTAAATACTCCTTGGTTTCAAAATATATTTAATTCTAGTCTTATATCTATAACAATTTTGTCACATGCTTTTAATATACCTTCTGTGCCCACAAAAGCTTGTGATACCATCTACATGTTCTGTTAGTTTATAAAGTGCTACCAGACTATTTGTTGTTTTTTTAAGTTTATCCTGTACAGACTAACTCTGCTACCTCCTGAAGCTTCTGCATTAGTAACATGTTTCTTTTTCCATGGAGACAACGGCCTTATGTTTACTTTTGGAGATGGGCGACATGGCAAATTAGGACTTGGAGAAGAGAATTTTACTAATCAATTCATACCCACCTTATGTTCTAATTTCTTGAGGTTTACAGTCTATTTGGTAAGGCTTTGCTTTGTTATCTTTTCTCAAGATTTGAAATGCACACTCTTTATAAACATACCTCACTAAAGGAAATCTGAAGTTTAAAATCATGTTTGTAATATTTCTTGATAGTATTTTAATAATACTGTAGATTAATACTGAAATAATGTTAAAAAGTTTTGTTTTATCTACCACTTCTCAGTCGCTGCTTCGTTTCTTGCACTGTGATCAGTTTGGACCATAAAAATAGACATGTCAGTTTTTCCTTCAGATTATTATGTGCTTACACAATAATGCAATGTTAAGGTTGTAAACACTTTAAAGAAATCCATAAAATTAAAACAAAAAGCTTTTTAACATTTTGGTGAATTTAGGAATAGACTCCATCCCAGTGTCTGGACCTTAATATCAAATATTATTTATAATATAGGTTATTTATAAATGTTCAATAACATGAAAATATATTAAAAAAAATGTAATCAAAAAATGATGAGAAAAAGACAATATTGTTCTCTTACTTTTTTTAAAGCTTTTTTTTTTTAAAGCTGCTGGTATTTAAGAAAAGTGCTGTAACGCCGGATCCAAATCATTCAGAAATTGAGGCAGGCCCCCCAAAGATCATGAGGGCCATCAGCATACCCCTTGGCTCATGTTCTCAAGGTTTTATCTGCAACACTGAGAGCTAGAAACTTTTTTTTTTTTAATAAAAGCTGAGGTTCTCATGTAATAAGTTGTCTCCCAGACTGGCTAGGGCTCCAAATAAAATATCAAATATTAAGAAACTTGTGGTAACTTGCAAGGTTTGGTAACATTGTATACATGTCATATTGACTAGCATAAAAATGATTTACTAAATTCCTTTGAAAACAGATGAATACTTTTTTGCTTGCTTCTACAGGTTGGACCTCTCTGGTCCGGCACCCTTGGGGCCTGACCAGTCCTAAACAAGGGAATTTGCCAGATATGGGAAGGTCCCTGCTAAAGGCCACTCAGCACACCTCTTCTCCCCACCATCGGCCCCACCCCTCCCCGCCATGCTGCTGCAGCCCTGGCAGCCCGGACTGCCGCTTTTCAGCCCCGCTACTGGGACTTTGGCCCTCATACCAGCCCCAGTCCTGCCGGGCTTCAAACTATCAGCCCTCTTGCCACTGGGTCTTCCAGCCAGATTCCCTGTTCCAGGAACATCCATGGTCATGCCGGACTACAGATGTTGCCAGACTAGAGAGTCCCAGTTTTAGGAGGTCATAGTATCTGCTTTTAGGAGGTTCAACCTATAGAAATTTTCCCAATTCTATGCTGTTTTACAAAATGTTGTACTTCAAAAGTTTAGAACTATTATGTGTTATGTACTTAAAGTTTAGAACTATTATATGTTGATGGACTCAAACTCTTCAGTTTCATACTCTATTACCATGAGAATCAAGAAGTTTGATTATCAACATCCAAAGGTCAGCAAATGTCGCCAGGGATCAAATCTGTTTATTATAGTTGTGTGCTTTACCATATTGAAATTTGTAACTAAGCGTGGAGAAAATATTTGGAGCTTATAACCTATTTCTTATTCCTTGTGTCCAGAAGATGAATGCAGGCTAATGAGATCCTGTTGTGTTTACTCTGTAGGTTGCTTGTGGTGGCTGTCACATGCTAGTTTTTGCCACTCCAAGGCCTAACGGATCTGAAGAAATACTGAAAAATTTACATGAAAACTGTTTGTCTGCTACTATCTCTGAACCAGGTGGTGATTCATTAGTAACCAACACCTTGCAGAGAACGTTATCTGCCCGAATGCGACGGAGAGAGAGGGTAAATTCAGAGCTGACTAAAAAACATAATAAATGTCAGAAATACAGGAAAAGAAACTTTTTTAAAAACTAAGATCATAGCTTACTCATGCCACATCAACACCCCTCTTTGAAACAAATGTGTATTTCAGGGTGGTTCTTTGAGCAATGTCCTGTGAGTGCTTCACTTAAGGTGTGTCTGCACCTTAAAGTGTGGAGATTTTGGTAATAGTGCCCATTCAATGCCCCACATGTCCTTGTGCCCTGCATAAAGAATATATATATGGCTGCATGGGCAAACCACCCTCAGTTCCTTCTCAATCGCCTTCCACAAGACACAGTGCCTACTGTATGTGCCTGTTATCTTTATTATTAAGCATTTAGTTAGTATGTAGTTAATTTATAGTGTTTGTAGTTGTTGGATTCTGTCAACTTCATCACAAATTGTTGATATCATATCACTGAAGGGAGCAGAAAAGAGTACTTTCTCCAACCACCTCAAGTGAGCAGGGCCCTGGCTTCATGCCCCCAGAAAGGGTAGGACCTTGGATGGAAGGGGCCAGCCAGTCCCAAGTGCTGCCCAGAGTGTGCCACACCTCTCTCAGGTAACCCTCAGTGCTACCTGGAGTGCACTGCACAGGGCTCCAGCAGTGATTTAAGGTCCTGAGTTCCAGCCACTGCCATGGTTGGGACAACCCAGATTCCCCTTCAGAATTCCCCCCTCCGGCCCTAGAGCCCACCTGCCATAGCTTGGCCCCAAACCCCCCCTCACACTGTTGCACCCCATCTTCTGCCCCGACCCTAACCCAGAGCCACTCTACTGCCAGCCACAAGCCCTTGTACCCCAATCCTCTGTCCCAGCCTTCAGCCTCCTATTTATGGCCCCACCTCAGAGCCCGCATCCTCAGACAGAACTCTCATACTCTTGCAGCTAAACCCTCTGTCCCAAGCCTGCCCCCTTCCACATTCATTTTGTAATGTGGCCTGTAGCTGCTCCTTCCACATAAATTTTGTTATGTTCATCAATATGAAGGTGATGTGTCACTGTGACAGGGAGCACATACGCCGCTACACTCCAATATTATTGACTCTAGCCAGTGGGCTGTGATGCCCTGGGCTGGGGGCTCATCATTGACTCTAGCCAGTGGGCAGTACTGCCCTGGATTGAGGGCTCCCTATTGACTCTAGCCAGTGGGCTCCCTATTGACTCTACACAGTGAAAGGTCAACTGTGTAAACGGTTAACTGATAAGCCCGGCTATATGCAGGCTCCCGTTATGCGCGGAGAGCTGGCTTAAAAGCCAGTCCCTGCAGGCACCAGTTCCTGAAGAGCCACCTGCCACCCTGCGGTGCCACCTTTGATACAAAGGCAGCAGCATGGGGTGACAAATGGGAGCCAGTCTGAGTGGGGAGCCGCAACAGTGCTGGTCAGCAGGCCGAAGCCGGTATGCATATTCCCATGTGCATTGGTTCCCAGAGAGCCAACTGCCACCCTACATGTAATCCTGTAACCACTGAAATTTTCAGCAGGTACATGTTTTTTTAACTATACACATTTTAATAACTCTAGTCGTCTGTAGTATCTTATAGGCAAAAACAAACAAACAATTCCCCCCTTCCCCTTTTTCAGGCCCCTTCTTTATCAGAATGAGGAAACAAGAAATCTCACAAGCCCATTTTTTTTCCCAGAAATTGGCTTCCAAGCTTTTGTTTGTGCTAAGTCCTGATACAATTATTATATATCATGTAATAAAACATACCATAATATTTCTACAGATCCTTACATTTGAAATGAGTGTAGAAATGTATGAAATTTTGGATTTTGACATATTCAAGTTATCTTCTTTTTACCTTTAGTTTACATTTTTTATCATGAAGGGCATTGGGCCTTTTCAAATTCTGAAATCTAGTTTCTATTCGACAGACTGTAGATAATATGAAATAAAGGGAAAATACTCTGTTTACTTAAATTGTGGATTAAATAAACTCATTCTTCTTAAGTTAAAGTAGAAGCTTTTTTTCTTGTTGCTTATTTTTAAGATAGTGAACAGTTATTTGACTATTGTGTGGAAAGCATCAGCTTACTATATCTGTCAATTTTTTGGGACCGTAAATAATTGATGTGTACAGTTATCATAATTACAGTATTTACTTTTATCAAATATTGTAATTAAAGTATGCAAAGGTGATTTTCTCTTATGTCTTAGAATGTTCTCAACATTTTCTTTAAAAAAATTTTTAAGGAAAAATCTCCAGAACAGTTTTGTCGAATGCTGCGAACATTACCTCCATTGGGAGAAGACTCCCTAAAACCTTCTTTACGTGCTAGCAGCAACACTGTCCCATTCAGTTTATCCACTGCAAACTATCCTGATGTCACAGAAGCAAATAAAAAAAAACCTGTGGACTGTGAAACAGGTGAAACATAATGTTTCTGTTTTGTTGTTGTCTTCCAAGCTTGCGCGCGCGCGCATGCTCTCTCTCTCTCTGTCTCTGTCTCTCGTTTATATTTGTGTGAGAGAACCACTCATTTTAGGAATGAAGACCATCACAACTTGAAAATGAGCACTATCCCTCAGTCTCAACCCAGTATTTGCTTGCCAGAGTCTGAGACAGAGCTAAAATAAAGGCTGGAAAGTACTGGGAATCTGTTCCTCTCTAAGCCATTTTGTGGGAAAGAAGTTTAAAGAATCCACAGGGAGAGTTAATTGAAAGGAACAACAACTGCTATTGTTTACCCATAGCTCCTGTTATATAAGGAACTCAAACATACATGAATTTAGCCTTACAAATAGCCCTGTAATTGTTATCCTCATTTTATTATAAAGAAACTGAGACATAGAATGAGTAAGTGATGTGTCCAAGACATTTTATGTCTCTGTGGCAGAACTAGGAAGAGATCCTGGGCCTTTCCCAATTCTGTACCTTAAACAAAATACTGTTTCTTCCTTTGAAATTAAAAAGTACAGTGTTACTAAAAGTTTTACCCAAAAGTAAATTTATTTCAGATGTTTTGTTTTTAATTGAAAATCTGAGACATAGAATGAGTAAGTGATGTGTCCAAGACATTTTATGTCTCTGTGGCAGAACTAGGAAGAGATCCTGGGCCTTTCCCAATTCTGTACCTTAAACAAAATACTGTTTCTTCCTTTGAAATTAAAAAGTACAGTGTTACTAAAAGTTTTACCCAAAAGTAAATTTATTTCAGATGTTTTGTTTTTAATTGAAAATCTGCAAATATGAACTGAGACTTTCAAAAGC